ATATTGGAAACTTGAAATAAAAGCAAAACATTTTAGAGAATCTCAATTCTTGCAGCATCTTTGGAGAGAGAAAAGCAGAGTTTAATGTTTTATGTCCATTATGTTTCATCAGATCCATTCTACTGAAAGGTTATTGGCCTGGAATGTTAACTCTGTTTTTCTCTCTATAGATGCTGCCAGACCTATTGAGTTTTCCAACAGTTTTTATTTTTACAGTATATTTATCAGTGTATTTGTGCAACTTCTTGCTCTTTGCTTTCAATTTTTAATCTTCTCTCACCTTCACCCAGGTGCATCTCCAACATCTCCCTTCTACTCCTTGACATTTCTGTCTCCATTCTAGGGATAGTCTGGAGACTAATATTTGTTTTAAGCCCACTGCATCCTACAACCACCTCAACAATACTTCCTCAAACTCTGTATCCTGCAAGGACCCCACTCCATTCTTCCAGTTTCTCACCTCCGGTTCAGTTTGGAAAATCCAACCTTCCACATGAGTTCTTGATGTGTCTTCCTTTCTGCTGAATTGAAGCAATGCAGCCCACTTCCAACCATCCCAACATCTACCACCTGGAATGTGGTTGAATGGGCACTTGCCAAACAAATCTACCATTGGGACCCCCTGAGCTTGCTCACACTTGTAATTGTAACTGCCCACCTTGTTCTCACAGTCACATCATTGAATTTGTTCTGCTGAATTATTCCAGTGAAGTCCGTTGTAATCTGGAGGTACAGACACTTGGCAGATTCTTGGATTTAACATTAAGTTCAACAGTTTCAGGTGTGAATTCTGTCCTGTATTTTGTTTTTTTTTCCACATGATGATGTGCATGTTGTTTCTCGTGTTTTTATTTTCAGACAGAATTGCTCACATTTCTTCCGTTCACACTCTGCACTAGTACTTTTTTGCACTTTGTCACTAACAATCCCTTGGCCTTTTGTTTCATGACATATTGTCATTTAACCTCTCCCACCCTTTACCCTGACCCTTAGCTTCCCTGCTGTTCTTCCTCACCCAGCCCCACAACCTGCCCTTTGCTTTGCACAATACTCATCATATTCCTCTCCCTCTTCAATTCTGAAGGAGCCACGTCTAACTCAAAATGTTAATTTTGTTTCTCCCCCCACAATTGCTGCCAAACCTGCTGAGTATTTCCAGCATTGCAATTTCCGATATCCAATAGTCCCAGTATTTTGGTTTCAGAAGAAGAAAAGTCCTGTCGCACAGCTAGTTGTTAGAATGTGAATATGCTGCCTGAGAATGTGGTGGAGGCAGATTTAATTATGGTTTTTTTAAAAAGGATATTGAAGAAGTACATGAAGGGAGAAGGTTTACAAGCTTTGAATAAAGCCTGGCGTGTGATGCTGGCTGCATTGCTCCTGCAGAGAGCCAGCATAAAGTTGAGCAGTCAAATAGTCTCCCTCTGAGTAACAATCATTCTGTGACACAATGACTTCCTTCTGTGCTGAACTTCTTCATGGAAATCCAAGTGAAATAGAAAACTGGAGCTGGCTTCAGAAGACGTGATTCGAACTTTGCCAAATAGTAAAACTTTTTAAATATTCAAACTACACAGTCTGGCAGAGAAAAAGTGAAAATCAGTCACACAACAATAATTCCGTGGCAGTCTCTTTGACTTCACATCCACTGCTAACAATTCTCCATCATTAACCAAACATTTGGCTTTGCTGGCAATTTATTACCCTTTGGTGAAACATGCTGGAAACGGAGTGGGAAATTCAATCCATGGTGCTTCTCTTTGTGAAGGAATGAATGAGTTGTATATTAAAGCACAACATCGACAATGACTTCAGTGACAGCAAACCACTTTAAAACCTAAAGATGTTGGAGCATCAAACATGCAAGACTGAATCTATAGAATTAGTCTGTAGCTAATTGCAGGTTACTGGAGGAGTTACAGCAAGAAGAGCTTCTGTTGTTTTGTGTTTTGGTTCTGCTCCAAGTTAAGGTCTTTCTTGGTGATAGAGTTGTTTGAGCCCCCTGTCAGGAAACTCAGCCCCAGCCCCATAGTTTCTAATATTAGAAGGGGAACCGGCAAGAAGTGGGAATGTGTGTGTACAGACCCTGAAGGAGAAATACAGTCAGGAGTTAAAGAGGAGTGAAAAATAATTAGGAGGAAATAAATAGTACTGAAGATCTGAAGGGTATTAAATTCTATTAAAATTGAGATTACAAAAATAAACAAAAGAGATTAGAGAGGAGGATAGAAAAATGAACACAAGAAGAAAGAAGAAGGAACATAAAATTTGTGAAAAAGATGCTGGAACAAAGACATTTCACTCCCTTTCAGAAAAAAAAGAGTGTAGATGAGCTGTGCATAGATATAGGCCTCTTGAAAACCTGGCAAAGGTCCAGTGAGGGCTTGCTTCCATCCCTGTTCCTATTCATCGCTTTCATATCTGTGTATGTGTTCTATTGTGGCACAATACTTATTGACATAGCCCTGGAGCACAGACTTCCAGCATCGCTTCAAAACCTGACACTGTGCCAGTTTGACAAGGTTCAGTAGTGAGACTCAGTCCCATCTCTGTACTAGTACAAAGACACTTTAATCTGCCTTTGGAAAAAACACGCTGTTTATCTTGCATCACGGTATTTAAAACCACAAATAGCAGACGATTGGAAATATGAAATCCTTTGGACTGGTCAAGAGAAAGGACCATGGTGTGAAAATTAAACCAGGAAAGCAATGAGGCGAACATAACTAAAAGTCTGATTAAAACAAAAACACAACACACAGAAAATACCCAGCAGGTTTTGAAAAGAGAAGAATATCTGTTAATGCTACGGAAGTTGACCTTTCATCACAACATCTGGGATTTAGCAATTACACCTTCACAACTGTTAACTATCTACAACTGGCACCAATATCAACAACAACTTGCATTAATGTAGCACCTTCAGCACTGAAAAAATATTTCAAAGGCATTGCATAAGTCACAATGCCTCTCTTGTCTTGGGTGAATATTTATATCGATGTTAGAAGTAAAGACTAGTGATTTGATGAAAGAGATGGAATTTTAAATAAGGATTAAGTGGGACACAGTTGAGAGAGGATTGAAGGAGTCAGTTGGATGCTGAAGAGACTAGGGAGGAGAAGGCCAAGAGAAACCTTGGTTGAAGTATTCGGATTTATGGGAGGATTATATAAAGTACTCAGGGAGAAACTAATCTCACTTGTAAAAGAATCATGAACGAGAAGCCACAGATTGCTGTAATTGGCAGATGAAGAAAAAGTGATCTGAGAAATCTCTTCACACAGCATGTAACTACAGTCTAGAGTACCATCTGAGTGTGTGGTGGAGGCACATTCCAAAAGACTTGGATGATTAGTTGAAAAGTAGCAATTATTGTCCATCTACAGGATGAGGGCATCTCTGGTGAAGCCCAACATTTATTGCCCACCCCTAATTGCCCAGAGGGTAGTTAAGAGTGAACCACACTGCTGTGGGTCAGGAGTCACATGTAGTCCAGACCAGGTAAATATGGCAGTTTCCATCCCTAAAGGACAATAATGAACCAGGTGTTCTTTTTTCCTGATCATCGGCAATGGGTTCATGGTCATCATTACACTCTTAATTCCAAATTTTTTAAAAATTCGATTCCACCATCTGCTGTGGCAGGATTTGAACCTGGGTCCCCAGAACATTATGTGGGTCTTTGGATTAATAATCTAACAATAATAGTACTGGACCATCACCAATTCTTGTAGGGGAGAAGGTGGGGGATGGCATGAAATAAGGTGCTCATTTGGAGAATCCATGCAGCTGCAATGGGCTGCATGGCCTCCTGTGCTGTAACAATTGTAAGATTCTGCAATGGGATTCACTGATGGAATAGTGGGAATGCAGGCAACTATCCCACTTAATACAATGAAAGTATTTAAGAACATCAGGAGTTGTGGAGGAACAGAGGTATTTCAGTAGTATTTCATCACCCTGGTGTTCAACTGGTTTTTGGATAGGATTATGCATGGAAGGAAGCCACTCCCTCCCTCCTTATTATTGACATTCTAGTCTGCTCGCACAAAACCATTCAGAATGAGATGCAGCATGATGAAGATATATGGGTGTCGACTGAGGGTAGATGTTTTCTATCTCATTAGATGATTTTATCTCACACCTCTGGAGCAGCTGGGACTTGAATCTGGGTCACCTGGTTCAGAGTTAGAGAAACTACCACTGCACCACAAGCACCCCTATTGGCTGCTTAGACCACATAGCCTTCCTTTCTAACTTTGAGGTGTTAAGAAAACCAGAAGTTGCTGGAAAAGCTCAGGAGGTCTGGCAGCATCTGTGAAGAAAAATCTGAACTGATTTTGAGGAAGGGTCACCGGACCCAAAACGTTACGTTAACTCTGATTTTTTCTTCACAGATGCTGCCAGACCTGCTAAGCTTTACCAGCAGCTTCTGTTTTTGTTCCTGATTTACAGCATCCACAGTTCTTTCAATTTTTACTCTGATGAGGTGTTTCTGGGCAGTTTTTTCCATGAACTTGAACACTCGTGGATCAATAACTGAAAGGTCAGAAACCTTAAAATATTGAGAGTGAGGTTCAGCTTCATGGTTATCAACTGACACGAGTTAAATTGAGCGATGGGTTTGGATCAAAAAGTATTTTTGTATCTGCATTATTGTACTAGCTTCAGTAAGAAGCGAATGCAGCTGGCATTTCTGAAGACAGTCCAGCTGCACTTCCCCATTGGACTTTGAATTTGGCCCTGTTCCCCTTGCAGTGTTTGCTCAACGCGATAACCTCAAGGCTGCCTTACTGTCCCAAATGCTCACCTTCAGGCAGTATTAATGTAAGCAATTTGACAGCATTCCTCCCTAAAGCATGTCCCCCCTTCAAGTTTTTGCATGTTCAGAATTTATGACATCTCCATGGCCTTTACATTTTTTTAAAACCTGTTGTGTCATGATGTTGTCAATCAGAATAATTGCAGTCGCTTGATCTTTCACTCAAGATTTTTCTCTCTTCTCCACAGAAATGATGGAATTAAACAGTGTTGTCACTTTTGTTGGAATTGCAAACAGCTCTGGTTACCAGACATTCTTGTTGGATGAGGAGAAAGGCAGACTCTTCGTCGGGGCCAAAGATCATATATTTTCATTCAATCTGATCAACATAAACAAGGATGTTTTGAAGGTATGTGCCTGTGAATCGTGGAAAAATATGATCAACAAACATCTCTTCCAATCCTTCCTTTACTGCCTGTCTTATAGAAAATGTGAAGTCCTTTCTGATAATCTTACCTTGCCTTAAGTCCATAAACCTTGGATTCTGCACCTGAGATATAGGGAAGCAACGACTTGCCTGTTCTTGCAATCTGGTACCAGTCTTGCCAATTTTCATTTCTTGTGAAGACCCATTGCTGGATATGCTTCCATGTGCTGGGTACCAGCTCTCTCAAAAAGCTTTGATGCGTGAATGAGCTCTGAAAGCCACTTTGGGTCAGCTATTCTACAATAGCAGCATCACAGCTGATTATATATGCATTGAAAGAGGGTATTGGTCACAGCAAAGAGCAGCAGGCCATGTTATACTAGGAGTAGGGGAATGGAGTAGTGAACATGGTAAATACCAGCGAGAGCAGTGAAAACAGAAGAGGTTGTCCAATTTGAAAATAGATATTAAAAAGGTTTAACATCTAATGTGAAAGATGTCATTCAATCATAACAATTACAGAAGGATGCCATTCTACTCATACCTGTTTCAGCTTCGGTTATTTACTTCAGTCACAAATCCCTGTCCTGTCTTTGCAGCCTTGTGTTATCTTCCTCAGATTTCTGATTTGGTAAAATACAGCAATGTGTGTTCAAACATTCCGACTTTGGGTCATTGTTCTCCTAATAAATGCACAGATTTCCTTGTTAACAATTTGACAAGTGATGGGAATAACCTTTCTCTGTTTACCCTCTTAAAATTTTAATTGTTAAACCTCTACTAAATCTCCATTTCAACCTCTCTGCTCCAGTTAGAAAGCTTTTAGATCTCATGTCTTTCTTTATTGCTATAATTTTAATTGTTATTATCTCTCAAACAGTTTCTGTATATTCTTCTTGAATTGGGATAACCAGAACTGCACAAAAAGCTGTACACAAAAAGCAGGACAAATCCAACCCGGCCAATTACCGCCCCATCAGTCTACTCTCAATCATTAGTAAAGTGATGGAAGGTGTCATCAACAGTGCTATCATGCAGCACGTGCTCAGCAATAACCTGCTCAGTGAAGCCCAGTTTGGGTTCTGCCAGGGCCACTCAGCTCCTGATTTCATTACAACGTTGGTTCAAACATGACAAAAGAATTCCAGAGATGATATGAGAGTGACAGCCCTTGGTATCAAGGCAACATTTAACTGAGTGTGGCGTTAAGGAACCACAGCAAAACTGGAATCAATGGATATCAAGGGAGCAAACTATCAGCTGGTTACAGTTCCTCAGGGTAGTGTCCTAGGCCCAACCATCTTCAGCTGCTTCATCAATGACCTTCTCGCCATCATAAGGTCAGAAGTGGGGGACGTTCGCTAATGATTGCACAATGTTCAACACCATTTGCGACTCCTCAGATACTGAAGTACGCCATGTTCAAATGTTGCACAATCTAGGCAATATTCAGGTTTGGGCTGACAAGTGGCAAATACCACCGCTGAATCCTCCACTATCAAGATCCCCAGGGCTACCATTGACCACAACCTCAACTGGACTTGCCACCTAAACACGGTGGCTACAAGAGCAGATCAGAGGCTAGGAATTACTGTGGTGAGTAACTAACCTCCTGACTCCCCAAAGCCTGTCCACCATCTACAAGGCACAAGTCAGGAGTGTGATAGAATACTCCCCACTTGCTTGGATGAGTGCAGCTTCAACAACATTCAAGAAGCTTGACACCATTCAGGACAAAGTAGCCTGCTTAATTGGCACCACATCCACAAAGGTCCATTCCATCCACCACCAAATCTCAGTAGCAGCAGTGTGTACTATCTGCAAGATGCACTGCAGAAATTCACCAAAGCACCTTAGGCAGCATCTTTCAAACCCTCAACCACTTCCATCTAGAAGGACAAGGGCAACAGATATATGGGAACTCCAGCACCTACAAGTTCCCCTCCAAGCCACTCACCATCCTGACTTGGAAATGTATTGCCATTCTTTGTATCACTGTCGTTGGATCACAATCTGGAATTCTGTCTCTTGAGGCATTGTGGGTCAACCGACAGCACATGGACTATAGCAGTTCAAGAAAGCAGCTCATCACCACTCGTGTGGAATGAGCTGCCAAGAAAATAGAACATAGAACATAGAACGGTACAGCACAGTACAGGCCCTTCGGCCCACGATGTTGTGCCGAACTTTTACCCTAATCCTAAGGTCTATCTAACCTCCACCCCTACCTTATACTATCATCCATATGCCTATCTAATAGCCGCTTAAATGCCCCTAATGAGGCCGACTCCACTACCACACCCCGACCACTCTCTGCATAAAGAACCTACCTCTGATGTCTCCCCTATATCTACCTCCACTCACTTTAAAACAATGCCCCCTCATAATAGCTACCTCCACCCGAGGAAAAAGTCTTTGGCTGTCGACTCTATCTGTACCTCTGATCATTTCGTACACCTCTATCAAGTCACCTCTCATCCTTCGTCGTTCGAAAGAGAAAAGCCCTAGCTCTCTCAACCTTTCCTCGTAAGACCTTCCCTCCATTCCAGGCAACATCCTGATAAATCTCTTCTGCACCTTTGCCAATTCTTCCACATCTTTCCTGTAATGAGGTGACTAGAATTGGACACAATACTCCAGATGTGGCCGAACCAGGCTTTTGTATAGCTGAAGCATAACTTCACGGCTCTTGAACTCAATCCCTCTATTAATGAAAGCTAACACACCATACGCCTTCTTAACAACTCTATCCACCTGGGTGGCAGCTTTCAGGGAAGTGTGGACATGAACCCAAAGATCCCTCTGCTCCTCCACACTGCCAAGAATCTTTCCGTTAACCCTGTATTCTGCTTTCAAGTTTTTCCTTCCAAAATGAATCACCTCACACTTTTCAGGGTTAAACTCCATCTGCCACTTCTCAGCCCAGCTCTGCATCCTATCAATGTCCCTTTGTAACCTAGAACAGCCCTCCGCACTGTCCACAATGCGACCCACCTTCGTATCGTCTGCAAACTTACTAATCCACCCTTCCACTCCTCCATCCAAATCATTTACAAAAATCACAGATAGAAGAGGAACCAGAACAGATCCTTGTGGTACACCACTCGTAACTGAGCACCATGTTGAATATTTTCCGTCCACTACCACTCTTTGTCTTCTAAGGGTCAGCCAATTCTGAATCCAATCTGCCACATTTCCCCCTATCCCATGCCTCCTTACCTTCTGCATGAGTCTTCCATGGGGAACCTTATCAAACGCCTTACTTAAATCCATGTATACCACACCCACTGCTCTACCTTCATCCACGTGTTTGGTCACCTCTTCAAAGAATTCAGTAAGGTTTATGAGACATGATCTACCTCTCACAAATCCATGCTGACTATCACAAATCAAACTGTGCCTTTCCAAGTGATCATAAATCCTATCTCTCAGAGCTCTTTCCAATAATTTCCCCACCACTGATGTAAGACGAACTGGCCTGTAATTTCCGTGGCTATCCTTATTCCGCTTTTTTGAAAAAGGGAATGACGCTTGCCTCTCTCCAATCTTCCAACACTATACCCGTGGACAGTGAGGACGAAAAGATCATCGCCAAAGGCCCTGCGATCTCTTCCCTCGCTTTTCACAGAATCCTTGGATAAATCCCATCAGGCCTGGGGACTTATCTATCTTCAACTTCTTCAAAATTCCTAGCACATCTTCCTTACTAACAGCAACCTCCCCTAGCCTACCAGCCTCTTTCACACGGTCCTCCTCTCGAACTAGGTCCCTCTCAGTTGTGAATACCAAAGAAAAGTATTCATTAAGGACCTCTCCTATCTCTTTAGGCTCCGTGCACAAATTCCCTTTACAATCCTTGATCGGCCCTACCCTTTCTGTGGTCATTCTCTTATTTCTCACGTATGTGTAAAAAGCATTGGAGTTTTCCTTGATCCTATCTACCAAGGTTTTCTCATGCCCCCTTATAGACCTCCTAAGCCCTTTCTTCAGCTCCTTCCTGGATAACTTGTATCCCTCTAGAGCCTTTTCTGTTCCTTGTTTCCTAAACCTGACATAAGCATCCTTCTTCCTCTTAACCAGTCGTTTGACCTCTCTTGAGAACCAAGGCTCCCTCACTCAACCGCATCTTCCTTGCCTGCTAGGAACAAACATATCAAGCACACGCAGTATGCATTCCTTAAACAATCTCCACATTTCAATAGCGCTCTTCCCTGACAACATCTGTTCCCATTTTATGTTACCCAGTTCTTGCCTAATAGAATTGTAATTACCCTTCCCCCAATTCTAAACCTTACCCTGCTGTATGTACCTATCCTTTTCCATGACTATTGTAAAAGTAACAGATTTATGATCGCTACCTCCAAAATGCTCTCCTACCAACAGGTCTAACACTTGGCCCCGTTCATTGCCAAGCACCAAATCCAAAGTGGCCGTTCCTCACGTTGGTCTATCTACATACTGTGTCAGGAATCCTTCCTGAACACACCGGACAAAATCCTCTCCATCTAAAATATTATAACTAAAATGTTTCCAATCAATATTTGGAAAGTTGAAGTCACCCATGACTACAACCCTGTGACTTCTGCACCTTTCCAGCATCTGCCTCCCAATCTGCTCCTCCACTTCTCTGCAACTATTAGGAGGTCTGTAAAAAAACCCCAACAAAGTGACTGCTCCTTTCTTGTTCCAGACCTCAATCCAAACTGACTCTGTAGACATATCATTCTCGAACTGCCTTTCAGTAGCTGCTATACTAGCCCTGACTAGCAATGCCACTCCCCTGCCTCTTTTTCCACCCTCCCTATTTCTTTTAAAGCATCTAAATCCCGGAACTTCCAACAACCATTCCTGTCCCTGAGTTACCTAAGTTTCTGTAATGGCCACAACATCGTAGTTCCATGTCCTGACCCATGCTCTAAGTTCACCCGCCTTATTTCCGATATTTCTAGCATTGAAGTATACACACCTCCAACCATCTCTGT